GTTAATATAATGAAGTCAGCAACAGGGGTCACCAGGAGCAATTTCAACTTGATGCTCGATAATTTCTCTAGCTGACACCCTGCAACTGTCAAAGTGACAGTAGCTTCATAGGGCAGAAAAGATGGGAGTTTGTTGTTGAATAGCCCATCAATGGTCATAATGAATGGCCACCTGGTCTAGGTGCAGTTAGGAGCCTGGCACCCATTGGTGAGAAGGGAAGAGTAAACTAGAGCCGGGGCTACTTATTGACACTTGCTACAGCTCTCGTGGGGCTAAGGCATTCACGTTTGAAATGAGATAATACAGCAAACAAGAGAACACCAATGTTTCAGCAAATATTGAATGAATTTGAAATAAAAACAAACCAATTTGACTCCTGTATCTTATCAGTAGGATAGTTACATATTTACAGGCGTGAAGTCAGCCTTTGTTGGTCTACATGTAAATATGTTACCTGATTTAATTCTTCGGGTGATATACTTTACATGGCACTTGTAAAAATAATCCTGATGCTATTTGTGTGAGACCTTTATTAATGTCCATTTATAATGGTTGGGGACTGGAGGTCCATCAAAATATCGCCTTATCCTGTAAAAATGGAAAAAAAAGGATTAAGCAAGTGCATGAGCAGACGTAGCCATGCCAGGTCCTGACCCCTTCCCAGTTGGTGATTAGGAAGAGCATTGCCCTGGACCTGGTAGAATATTGACAGAATGTGGTGACTGTCAGCCAGTATACATCATGTATGAGGTGCAGGTGATCACCCTATCTGACAGAGATGTGGCACAGTTACACTAGAGGTATACCCCAGAAGTGTCAATTAGTTGTGAGTAGATGGTGCCACTTGCAACTTGGGGTGGAGGAGTGTGTTTATTCTCTTCCTGCATTGGATGCAGGTTCTTCTGTGCAGGCCAGAGATGCTGACCCACACTCTGACCTCACTCCAGACTGCCCAGATAGAGTGGGAGGATTTTTGCCTTCCAAGGAAGACAAGCTCCTTAAGCTTCCTGGATGGCCTGGGCCAGACCCTCCAGGAAGTGCTGAATTTCTGTCTGTCAAGTCTGAGAAATCTTCAGTGTGTGGGGGCACCTGATACAGACTTCAGCCATGCTGCAGGTTCAGTGAGTGAAGTGCTGTCCAGGTGGCCTTTAATTATGGTGCCTGATCCTTCAGCCCAAAAAGCTGCTCATGAAGTGGCAGGGGGAGGAGAGGGGAATGAGAACTTCCTGCACCCCTCTCTCTCCTCTTTGCCTCCTTCCTCATGCAGGAGCAGAGGGACCTGCGATATCTGTGAATACCTCATTTGAATGTGGAAGGATATTTTGAGGGAGCAGTTACTGAGCATTAATGATCACTGTGGGCATAAAGCACAAAAGAAACACAGTTCTGATAAGTCCAATAACCTACCAGTTCAGCTTCAGCTGGAGTATTGTGTCCAGTTCCAGGCACCACATTTTAGGATGTGAAGCATCAGAAGGGTGCTGACACTATTCTAGATGATAGTTCCAGGGATTAGGTGCTGCAGTTACATGGTCAGATTGGAGAAGCTTCGGCTGTTCTCAGAAGTGAAGGCTGTAAGGAGATTTTATGGGGTGCTCAAAATTGTGAGGGGTGTGGATGGAGGAAATAGGGAGAAGCTGTTCCCATTGGCGGTTAGGGTCAACAATGAGAGCGCATCGATTTACAGCAATTGGCAAGAGAAGCAATGGTGACAGGAGGAAAATATTTTTATACCAAGTTGCTGGGATCAGGAGCCCACTGCCCAAGTGTGGTGGAAGCAGACTCCATTGAATCACTATAATAATTCACAGGGCTCTGGGTGATTAGGGTAGAGGGAGAAATTTGTGACATTTGGCAAATGTTGGATGTGTTGGCTCTATACCAGATCAGTGTGTTGACTGACTGGCCTCCCATGTGTAAGCTGAGTCTGGATACTGGAATTCATTCCAAAACACCATGCTAAATTACCCATAGTGTCCAGGGATGTGCTGGCTAGGTGGATTAGCTATGGGAAATGCAGGGTTGCAGGGGCATGGTAGGGGACGCATCTGGATGGGATGCTCTTCGGAGGGTCTGTGTGGATTTGATGGGCCAAATGGCCTGCTTCCACACTGTAGGGATCCTATGAAAAGAAGTCAGCTCATCTTCCTGAAGGCTGTTGCGGATGGGCAATCATTGCTGACCTAGTCAGTGACGCTCACAACCTGTGAACAAATTTTTAAACATGTTTTCTATTCTTCTCATTTCTCTCTCAACCTCTTTCACTGTCTCCTACTTTACTTTACTTTACTTTATTTTCACCCTTTTTTTTGTCTGTTTCTTTCTCCTCTTGTGTTTCACTTGTAAAGAAATGGTGAACTACATCAGCTGTCTACATAAGTCCAGGCACCCCATTGCCCTTCCTCCAACCTTATCCATTTCTACTGAGAGACCTGCGGCACCGCAAACAAAATGGTCCGAAGGGTAACAGTTAAAATGCAATGCGCAGAGTTCTTGCGACTTGGCAGCTTCTATTTTCATTGTTCTGTGATCTAAGTATCTCTTGGATTGTGTCTTCTCTCTTTTTTAGAAGAGCTCAATGGACTATCGAGGAAGCATCCCAGCACTGTTGACAGTGTTTTACTGGATGGACCCCTGACTGACCCTGAAGCTGGAGAACAATTTGTGCAAGATGCGTTTCAGATCATTTTGGAGGAGGCCATCAAGAAGGGGACAAATATCAACGAGAAGGTAAGAACAATCTCAACTAATCATTGCATGTTCAGAGAGTAGCCATCAGATCATTTGCCTACTGGCTGTTTCGGTGCAGTTATTGTCTGCATTTGTTCTGTTGGTCCCATGACACATCCAGGCTGGAGAATCCCACGTAATTCTGTAGTCTAGGGAAGAGTATTGAGGTTGCTTGCCACTTACTCCAGAGTTTCAAGCAAAAAACAGGGAGGCATCTTTCACATGAAGTTTAAAAACCAGGCTAAAGGGGCCTGTCTACTCTCTACAATGTTAAACACAAGTACCCCTGCTGTTTCGGTGCAGTTATTGTCTGCATTTGTTCTGTTTTTTATGGGTTGTGGTGTTGCTGTCAAGACAAATGTTTGGTGTCCATCCCTAATTTTCTTTGAATGGAGTGAAATGGCCTACCAAGTCACATGGCAGTTGAGTCTAGAGTCACATGTGGGCCAGACCAGGCAAGGACAGCAGATTTTCTTCTCTAAAGGACATTTTATGAACCAGCTGGGTCTCTTTGACAATTGACAATTTCATGGTCACTGTTATTGAGACAAGCTGTCAGATTTCACTCCTTTGGATTTAAATTCTTTTGATGGAATTCACACCCATCTCCAGAACATTAGTCCGGACCTCTGGATTACTAGTCCACTGAGATTACTACTATGGAGATATGAAACACTCTCTGTTCACTGGTACTGTCTGGACTGGTGATGAGGAAGAGTTCTGTTTCCAACTGAGTTTTTAAAATTCTTCCATTTTGTGGGCTCTTTTATTATTGCTGGTATTTATTTCCTGTCCTTGATTGCCTGAAATAAAGGAGCTGAGTAGTTGTTGTAAACTGTTCTAGCTGTGTAAGTGTAGGAACACCAACGATGCAGTGAGGGAGGGAGTTCCAGGATTTTGAACCAATGATACTGGTAATCGTCATGGGTTTGGAAGGTGCTGTCTGAGGATTTTTGTAGCGGCAGTGAGCGGCATCTTGTAGATGCCGCTCACTGCTGCTACTACTATGCAATCATGGTGGAGGAAATGAAAGTTGAAGGTGGTCGATGTGGTGCCAATCAGCAGGTCATTTTGTTCTGGATGGTATCAAGCTTCTTGCATTGTTGGAGCTGTACCATCCAGGCAAGTAGGGAGTATTCCATTACATTCCTGTCTTGTGCCTTGTAGATGATAGACAAGCTTTGGGGAGTCAGGAGGTGAGTTACTCACTGCAGTATTCCTAGCCACTGCATTTATATGGTACGTACAGTTCAGTTTCTGATGAGTTGTAAATCCAAGGATGTTGATAGTGAGGGATTCAGTGAAGCGTTGCCCCAGAGTTTGGGTCACCCTGATATTTCATGTGTTGATACTAATTTGCAAACAATAAAGTTGCACTTAAGACTAAACACATTTGTCACTGTAAAGGGTCAACTATACCCCTACTCCTAATAATGCCTGGGGCTTTGATCCAATGGGCTGAGAAGTGGCAAATGGAGTTTAATTTAGATAAATGTGAGGTGTTGTTTTGGTAAGGCAAACCAATGCAGGACTTAATCAGTTAATGGTAGGGTCCTGAGGAGTGTTGCTGAACAGAGACTGAGGGGTGCAGGTGCATAGTTCCTTGAAAGTCCTGTCATGGGTAGACAGGAAGGGAGGCATTTGGTATGCTTACCTTCATTGGTCAGTCCATTGAATATAGGAGTTGGGTTGTCATGTTGTGACTGTACAAGACACTGGTTAGGCCAAGTTTGGAATACTGCATTCAATTCTGAATGCCCTGCTAAAAGAAAGATCTTGTTAAATTGGAAAGGGTTTAGAAAAGATTTTATAAGCATTTTTCCGGGATTGAAGGGTTTGAGCCATAGAGAGGCTGAATAGGCCAGAGTTTTTCTTTTTTCTTGGAGTGTTGGAGGCTGAGGGGATGAACTTTATAGAAGTTTACAAAATGATGAGCATGGATAGGGTAAATAGTCAGGGCCCTTTTTCCCAGGGTAGGGGAGTCCAAAACAAGAGGGCATAGGTTTAAGGTGAAGGGGAAAAGATGATATAAAAGGGATCTAAGAGGCTGCTTTTTCACACCGAGGGTAGAGCGTGTACGGAATGAGCTGCCAGAGGAAGTGGTGAAGGCTGGTCCAATTACAACATTTAAAAGGCATCTGGATGGGTACATGAATAGGAAGGGTTTAGAGGGATATGGGCCAAATGCTGGCAAATGGATCTAGATCTGTTTAGAATATCTGATTGGCATGGATGAGTTGGACTGAAGGGTCTGTTTCCTTGCTGTACATCTCTATAAAGCATGTGCTGAAGGAATGATGTCATGAGATCTGCTCACATGGAACTGAGAGCTCATTAAGGAGTCACTTGCAAAAACACTGCTCGACTGTGCTTTTATAACTACGTCAACAGCTTTGTGTTCAATTTTTGTAGAAATAAACAATATTCCTCCAGTCTGATCTTAACTCATCTGGTAGAGTTGTATCTGCTTCCAGTGCAGGACCTGTACCCACCAGCCCTGTCTCCCAAACTTTACAAGAGACAGACCTGTATGCAACTCTTGTTTGGAATTTGTTGATTAGTGCTGGAATTTTCTTGCACGTGACTCTAGATCCACAATTATGTGGTTGACTCTTGACTACACTGTGAAGTGGCCTAGTAAGTCACTCTGTTCAAGGGTAATTAGGAATGAGTGACAAATGCTGGCCTCCCCAGCAAAACCCATAATCCATGAAAGGATTCCTTCAAACATGGCAACATGGCACTTACCTTTACAATGTGACAACCTCTATTCCTACTTCTTCTTTTGTCTGTAGGTATGTGAATGGAGGGAACCAGATGAGCTACAGGATCTTCTTGACCTTGACCTAGTTGATGCTGGTGAGCCCCCTGAAAAACTGCTGGAGCGATGCCAAGACATAATTCGATATAGTGTCAAAACTGGTCAGTAACTTCCTCGTCCTTTTTTTTTTTGAGGGTTTCAAGTACCCATCTTTTATTGTGCATGTCAAAAGACATGTGCAGCATTCTGATTTGTCTCGATTGTATGTCTTCAAAGTTTGTTTCAAATTCCTAAAATCCCTGTTGGATGTCACATGTCCTCTGCTCCCGCCTTATAAATTGCCTTTTTGGTCTCTAATTGGCCCTGCTCCTCCCTTTTTTAATTAATCTCCTACTGTTTATATATGCCTCTTGAAGACTTTGGGATTTCCCTATTTTGTTAGTTGCTGTCTCATCTCATCATTCCTCTTGGCTTTACTACCTCCCCTTTCCTGAAAAACTTCACTGAAAGGAATATTTTTCACCCAATCTTGCCCGTAATTCAGCCAGGACTCCGTCACTGCTACAGCATCATAATTTCACGCTGCAATATGGGTATGTAACTCCAACCTTATTTTGCATACTTCGTGCATTTACAAACATGCACGTTAACTCTCTTTTGGACTTTCTTTCCTTTTGCCCTACTCTGATCTAACCTATTATCTGACTCTTTTCTATGCTAGTGCCAGCTGTATCCTTGCATTTTTTTTTGTGTAAGCCCTGCTATTCACTTCTAACATAATCTCATGGATTCCACCCCCTGCCAAATTAGTTTAAACCTCTACCCAGTGGCACTAGCCAAATGCCGCACAATGGTCCCAGTCCCAGCTCTGTTTTAGGTACAACCTAAATGGCTTCTACAAGTGCCATCTTCCCCAGACCCATGCACTGTTCCAGAAATTTAAAGCCTTCCCTTTTGCACCATCTTTCCAGCCAAGCATTCATCTGTTTTATCGTCCTATTTCTGTACCTGTGCATGGTGCAGGGAGTAATCTGGAGATTACTACAGCTTTGTCCTGCTTGCTAACTTGGCGCTCTAAATTCTGATTTTTTCAGGGCCTTTTTTTTTTTATTACCCCCTCCCACTCAAGTCATTGGTCCCAACGTGGACCACAGCCTCTGGCTGTTCACTCTCTTCCTCGTCCTCGTCCTGACGTGGGATCTGTTGTAGTTGTGCCGTCGAGACGTCTGGTATTAGTCTAAGTAACCTGAGGCCTTACAAAGGACTCTAAGTAATACTTGCGTACGTGTACGTTACTGTTGGGTATGTAGACTTAACACTGAGCTGGAACCAAACTAGAACAAGTTAGCTCATCCCAGGACCCATCCATTTATACCCTAATGGTGGAGCTCATCTCCTGATTTCAAGTACTAGTTGGTTTATATAGCAATAATGGGTAACTTCAAGTTGTGCATATGGGATAAACCAAATCAGCACCTCTGCTATTGATGATGAATTCCTGGAGTATGTCAAAATGGCTTTCTTGAGCAATATGCTGAAGAATCGATGAGGGATTTGGAGTCTTTTAGGTGTAGTACTATGTAAGAGCTAATTAAACTTTACCTTTTGGGATTTTCCTCTAAACATCGAATAGGAATGGTGACCAACTGTGGCTATTGAAAGAAGATAGATTGCATTAGTGCAAAACCTGTGGCCTAGAAGGATGCCAGAAAAAGTAGGGAAGCCTGAGGATGGGGAGTAATTTAGAACTTGGCAAATGATGAAACTCCTGAAAGGGAAATGGGAATATGAATGCAAGCTGGTGAGAAACGAAGGTGAACTGTAAAGGTTTCTTTAGGTATGGGGGGAGAGAAGGAAAAAGTGACTTCAGACAAATGGTAGGTCCATTCCAGATTGTGATGAGACAATTTCTAGTGGAGCCCTGGAAAATAGTAGAAAAACTGAACAACTGCTTTGTATCTGTCTATGCGGACACTCTCCTAGAAACATTAGATAACCAAAGGACTTGTGTAATTGAGTTCCTAAAAGGAACCAATATTAGTCAAGAGGTAGTACTTGGAAAAAGTAGTTGGATTGAAGGCTGCTGTTAATCCCCCTGGGTCAGTTGAGTCACATCTCTGTTGAAGGACATGGCTTTAGAGTTGTTCCATCTAGTTATCTTTAAAAACTCCCTCATTTCTGGAAAGGTTCCTGCAAACTGGAAAGTAGCAAATGTACCCCGCTATTTAAGAAGTGAGGGAGAGAGAAAGCAGGACAATAGAATCAGTTGCCTGATATCAGGAGGAGAGAAAAAATAGTTAAAATCTATTGTAAAGGATGTGATAACTGCATAATTTTTAAAAAAAAAAAAAGGTGGGCAGTGTTCATG